CCCCCCCCAGTTCTCCCTCCTCATCTTCTCCATCCCTTGACCCCATGCTGACTACCGAATTTGTGAGTCCCTCCCGCTCCACCAGCGAAGGGCTTGCGTTCCTAGCTCACGAGCCTGCATCCGACTCAATGGCCACCCCTATGGCAACCAGTTTGGGCCCAACTTCCCAGTCGGATCCCATATTGGACCTCCTCCACCGCATGCAGGCCACACTCGAGGCCAAAGTCACGGCTCTCTCGGACCGTATGTTACAGTTGGAGTCTCGTACCCCCACACCTCCATCCTCTCTTCCCCCCCCTTCCTCTTCCCAGACACATGCGCCTAGCGGATCACACTTCCCATCTCCCCAGTTTGGGATCTCGCAGTCCAGTTCCCCACCCATATCATCAACGTCCCTGCCAACTTCCCCCCCCTCGTCGGCTGGCGTCATCTACACGCTTGTCTCGTCCACAGGTGGCATGTCCTCTCCCCTGACTTCCGCACCCAGCTCTTCCTCCCAAATCCCCACCTCCGCACTTCCCTTGTCCGGACCCATGGCATCGTGTTCAGCCACCTCCGCAATTCTAGTATCCACGACACCTACCTCACCACCCTCCACTTCTTTACCACACGCCCAACCCCCTATGACACCCAGGACACAAACCAACTCCAAAGCCAACTCGCCCTGGCCCACGACCACATCCGCCGGCTCCAAGGAGGCCAACCCTTGCCTCCCCACCTCGTGGCACAGCCTGCTGCCCCTTTCATCTACCGGCAGCATCAGACACAGGCCGCTGCGATGCACTTTACCCTTCCTCCACCGGCCACCACATTGTCTCACGACCCTTTGCCCCAGCTTCCTGCCTTATCTATTGCCCCTGCGGGTACCCCTAGTTCTTCTGTCCTCTTGTCGCAGTGTGCCCTCCCCCTCCCTCCTCATTACCAGCCCCCGCCTTATGTACCTCGGTACCACCCCGACAAAGTCCCCCAGTTCGATGGCAAGGCCTCTGAACTCCAGGGCTGGATCACCACAGCCGAGGAGCAACTTCGGTACCATGGGGTAAACATGGACTTGTGGCCTACGGAGATGTCTACCCGCTTCATGGGTCGAGCGGCTTCCACTTGACGCGACTTTCTCGCCCTTCGTGCTCAGCAGGCCGTTCACGCGAGTATGACGTACGCGGAGTTTCGTGATTTCCTCCAGCAGTACTTCTCTCGCCCGACGCCTACCCGTGACCCGATCACACGGATCGCTGAGATCAGATGGCTTGGCGGCAACAATGCCTTAGAGTCGTACATCACGACATTCCACCGCGTTCGCGCCCAGATTTCCCCCTCCCTCATAGCCGACGACGCTTTGGTCCAGCGTTTCCGTGTCAGGTTACCCCAACCCTTCCAGCTTCAGATGCTGGTACACACGGTCGATACCCTCCCCGAGGCCTTCAACATTGCCAGGGCCATCCAGCTCAACTATGCACCTCTTGTGGGCTCCACATCTGGGCGTGGTGCCGCACCTCCCGCTTCATCATCTGCCCCTGGCACATCTCGCCCCCGCCAATTCTCCATGTCTCGCCGCGGTCCCCGCCGAGTTCCTGGACGTGCCTTCTTCCGCCGTGTCCAGACTATGTTCCACGAGTCGTCGAGCGCTGAGGAGGGTACTGGTTCGAACGGATCCCATAGCGACCCGGACCAGGAACATGACCCCCAGTCCCTTGTGGATGGCGATGACCCCGTCCAGGACGAGCAACTCGTCCGCGCCTTCTCTGCTTTCCTGAGGCAGCGCCAGTCCTCCTCATCCACTCCGTCCGCCTGCCCCTACGCCGACGCCCTCCATCGTCACTTTGCTCAGCAGTCCCGCCCTCAGCCTGACCCCCCCGCCTCGACCTCCAGCTCCGCAGCCACCTAGAGGCGATCTCCCGCTCCCCTGATCCTCTCACAGTAGCAAGCATACCCGCCCGCGATTCTACCTTCGCGCCGCTTGCTACTCTTTCTGAGGACTCGGACCTGACTTCATCGTTGGTCGCTTCTAGCGTCGCTGGCCCACCCTCCAGTGCCTCCACTTCTTCGCCTAGCGTCTCTCATGATCCTCCTCCTCCTCGTCCTCCTACTAGGCGTGCTCTTCGCACGGCGCGCTGCAGTGCTTCCCTTATTGCAGCCGAGGATATCATCGACTTCCTGGACCTTGAGTGTGTTAAGGTCCACCAGGAACGTCTCCGCCTTAAAGAGCGCATCCTGTCCTCGATGTCTCAGCGCCTACACAATCCCGATTGCACCTTACCGGTTATTCCAATTCGCCTCGGGACCTCTACTAGAGTGTATCGCGCACTATGGGACTTTGGCTCTACTGGCGACTTCATTCATCCTCGCGTAGCTAAGGAGGCATCTCTCTATACATCCGCCTACCCTTCCACTGTCACTGTCACGCTTGGCGACAATCCTTCATCGATTCGGTGGTGCCTGATCTTCCATTCTCCTTCCCCCTGCGGATGCCCCACAACCTCCGCAAGGCTCCTCGGTTCCATGACAAGTGGACCTTCGATGTCATGGAAACTCTATATGATCTCATTCTTGGCACTGCCTATTCCCATCAGTTCGCTCATGCCGGCCCCGATTGGACCCACAACGATCTCATCCTCGACGCCAAGGACGGGAAACAATACCGTATTTCGTTGTTGGGCGAATCGGACTCTACATTCCCCCCCCTGTTAATGTCACCATTTGTACACCTACCCAGTTCCACCACCTCCTTCGTGAGCCTGATGTAGAACTCTATGTTGTCGACATCACGGATCTCCTCACCTGCAACTCCATGCATTAGGACGTTGAGTTGGTCGAGCTCGATCCACCACCTCCCGAGCCCCCCGACCCCCCTGATTCCTCAGCTTCCTTAACCTCCTCTACCCCTGCTAGCCCACTTCACTTTCTCGCTTCCCTTACCACTGATACACCCTCAGTCCCTACCCCCATACAAACCCCCTCCACCTCTGCTTCAGACGCTGCCGCTGCCAAGGAATTTGACACCCTTCTTTCTTCCTTGCTGCCTAGCGTTGGTGCCCTCCTTCATGAGTATCACGATGTTTTCCCACCATCCGTCTCCTACAGCAGCATTCCTCCCATGCGTGGTATCGAGCACCACATCCAGCTCGAGCCCAACTATCGCATTCAAAATCGCGCCCCTTATCGCCTTTCGGTTCCCGAAGCCCAGGAACTCAAGCGCCAACTTGAGGAGCTGCTTCGCCAGGGCATCATTAAACCGAGTACTTCCCCATGGAGTGCCCCGGTCCTCTTCGATTGCAAGAAGGATGGCACCCTTCGTCTCTGTATTGACTACCGCGGTCTGAACCACAACACGGTCAAAAATAGCTATCCCATGCCTCACACGGATGACCTGTTTGACCGCCTCTCGGGCCACCATTTCTTCACGAAGATCGATCTTCGTAGCGGATATCACCAGATCCGCGTAGCCGAGGAGGACCAGCCCAAGACCGCTTTTCGTTCTCGTTTCGGGCACTACGAGTTTACCGTCATGCCTTTCGGTCTCCGTAATGCCCCCGCTTCTTTCCAAACGGCTATGAACACGATGTTCCAAGACCTTCTTGAAGACTATGTTCTAGTCTACATTGACGACATCCTGATCTACAGTCGTACCCTAAAGGATCACCTGACCCACCTTCGCACTGTCTTGCAACGACTACGCGACCACGGGTTCTATGCGAAGCTTTCCAAATGCAGCTTCGCTCAACCCAAAGTGAACTTCCTCGGGCATCAGGTCTCCGAGCACGAACTCCACATGGACGACTCGAAGATTCAGACCATTGTCGACTGGCCCACTCCTACCTCTCTTCCTGCGCTGCATAGTTTCCTTGGGTTGACCAACTACTATGGTCATTTTCTTAAAAACCACGCGTAGTATTCTTCCCAGCTTACCCCTCTGACTCGCGGACGTCTACCTTTTCATTGGACCCCGGCTCACGAGAACGCTTTCCGCTCTCTCAAGCAACTTGTCACATCAACTCCAGTCTTACACTTACCCGACTACTCGCGTCCATTCATCGTCACCACCAACGCATCCGACTTCGCTATTGGAGTTGTTCTCTCCCAGATCTACCCAGCCCCCTCCTCTTCTCCTGATTCCACCGAGTCCCGCCTCCCTTGCATTCCTCGCTTCCCTCCTCCACCTCCAGCGACTGCGGCTCATCTTGCACCCATCGAGCCCACCCCCCCAGGGGCCCCACCCCCTTATATTCCTGACGTCGCTGATGACGGTACAGTCGAGTCTCGCAATGGAGAGTGTTCGGTTGCTTATCTATCTCGACAACTACTTCCCGCTGAGCGTAACTATACTGTCGACGAGCGTGAGGTCCTTGCGCTGGTCTACACTGTTAAGAAGCGGCGTCATCATTTGCACGGTCATACTTTCACCGTTTTGGCGGACAACTCTGTCCTCGCCGCCTTCCAGACGAAGCCTAAGCTCACTTCTCGCCAGGCTCGTTGGTGGCGTGAACTCTCGGAGTTCGACTTCACCATCAAGAAAACTTCCGGCGAAAGCAATCGTGTTGCAGATGCCCTATCCCGCCGCCCCGACCTTCAGTGCGAGGATCGTCAGCTATCTGCTATCTCAGCTCCCACCATCCACCCCGCCTTTCTGGATGAGTACCGTTGCGCATACACCCAGTGCCATGAGTTTCAGTCCATCTACGCTGACCTACAGGCTGGCAAGTCCGTCCCTAACTTCCAACTCGATCCCTCTGGACTCCTATATTGGCTTGGTCGCCAAGGTACTCGTACTCCCCGCTTATGCGTGCCCTCTATTGGCCAGCTCCGCGTTCGGGCCGTCGCTGAGTGTCATGACCAGCGCGCCGCCGGTCATCTCTGTGTCTTCAAGACACTT